TACAGCACGAAACACTGCAAAAATGCATGATCGCACGGGCCCGCCCAGTGCGCGTCGCCAGTGATTCCTATTATGATTCCTGAAAAGTGATGCAGGCTGCTTTTGAGGGAACAGAAACCCACCGGTAAATTGGCTGGAGCTGAGAGTTAATTTTCTCAAAGTACGAAATTTTGCAAGATGCACATTAGTAACAACATTTCCAGGATATGAAACATTCACGCGAGAGCGAACCTTGAAAGAGATGAGGGCAGAGCGAGGCCAGCGTCTGTCGATGTTGCTCGGCAGATACACCAAGTGGCCGTCCATTGTAAGGACACGTTTGATGCATGCCACCACGTCGTCCGCATACTCCACGCATCGAGCACTGCGCCACCAGCGTAGCATTTGAGACAAAACTGTCGTTTCTGCGCCCACCGCTATAGCTCCCAAGTGTGACTTTAAGTAAAGTCACAGTACAGGTTGCAAATAACAGCGATGCACGCATGTAAATTTGAATGATATGCTGATTTCGCACTTTGCAGGTACCGGCGCCTAGCGGATACACAATAAGCAGATAGTCGCGTAAAGCGTGCCTCCAACTCGCTCTGGCAACAGGCAAAAATCAGCAACAGGAACAGAGAGGAACTGCTGCAATTAGTTATGTCCACCAAAAAATCCGTGGAGTCAGTCGGAAATCGATAGATCTATTGGGAGCTTCAGCGACCGAACCAACCAGTATTCACAGTCAGATGAGAAACAAAAACTGTTTGGAACAGTGAATGCAGTAAAATAAATATTAACATATTTCATAAAAGGACAATTTGTGCCATTGCTGTGCCTCTGCTTCGATTATGATGCTGGTGATGATGGTTATGACGGCGAGAATGACGGTGAAAATGATAACAGCAATAACAATAACAATAATGACGAAAGCGACCAGTGCAAAAATGACACGCTTTGCGAAATCTGCAAAATTATCAAAGATCCTTATCAACATGCTGATAATCGCCAGTGTATTGTCTTCGGGCGAGCTGACTGACACAAATGACTCTCAGTAACACAGTAGAATAGGAGGCAACACACTGAACTGGCAACGCCTATTCACAGCATTTGATGCTCTAATGTACAGCTTCTGGCTGAAATGTCACCGGATCTACTGAATCTGCGATCATTCCACCCGAGACTAACCTCCTGTAATTAACAACACAGGAGCGTAGCAATTTTAACTCGCACTTCTGGAGTAAACTGATCAGTGGCCCTTCATACACCGTCAGCACGCACACCCCTGAAATAACCGGCCGACCAACGTTCGCCGTTGCAAATGAAGGAGATAGATGAACGTCACTTTTACTATATATATATGTATATATATACATATATATATAGTAACTTTTGCTTTTGCTTTTGGTCTCGTCACTTTTGCTCTCTCCCTCTCTCTATATATACATATACAGAGAGAGAGAGCAAAAGTGGCGTTCATCTATCTCCTTCACTTTTACTCTATATATACACATACATATATGAAGTAAAAGAGTAACTCTATATATATA